ACCCCCCCCCGCCAACACACACACACACTCACACATACACACTCACACACACACACACATAATCTGATTAACAGATTTATAATCCTGCAGTTCAGAGATTTACTGCTGCTGCTAAATACAGACGCACGCTAACACACAGCAGGCTGATGGAAGCTAACAGGCTAACCACACACACACACACACACACAAACACACACACACACACACACACACACACACACACAGATGTCCCTACCTGTGTGGGTGGAGCTAGAGAGAGACAAGGAGGGGTTGGGAGGGTGAGGGACTCTAGATGGGGTGGAGTCTGGTCATGTGTGGGTGTGTTTTCAGTTATGATCCAGATATTAGTTATAAAGCTGCTGACTGTGTGTGTGAGTGTGTGTGAGTGTGTGTGAGCGTGTGTGTGAGGAGGTTGAATGATTCGTGTGTTGAGTCGATGTGAAGCTTCAAACATCCGACAGCTGAAGGAAAGAGTGTAAGAGACTGAAGTTTGTTTGTTTGTCAGCAGGATGTTGAAGTGATGAGGAACCGAACTCATTACGTCCAGTTCAAGATTGTTGTCAGGAAAATATTTAGATCTTGATAATCTGTATTTCTGTTGTTGACGTCACAGACGTGTGTGGGATTGTTTGTCACTCTGGTTCTTTCATTCATTTCTGTTTGTGGAATGAAAAGGTAGATTTATGATGCTTTGATTTCAAACTCAAACCTTTATTTGTGTTGTTTGCTTGCAGTCAGATTCACGTCCTGTGTGGAAACAGTCGGCTCATCACTGTGTAATGTCAGCTTTCACTTTGGTTCATTGATTTGATTGACAGGAGGCGGAGCCCCTCGGGGTCTTATTTTGATGGTGGGGGCGACCTCGGTCTGGACTACTCCACTCACTTGTCACATGGTTACCATGGCAATGGGGAGGCGGATCTGCAGGGTCAAAGGCGACCAATCAGAGACAGGCGAGGCCGCTGGCACTCACAGGTGAGTCTTTTATTGTTCCTTTAATTTATGAGTAATTGGAACTGTTTTTATTCATTATTCATCATAGTTTGACTCATAAACACAACAACACTAACAGGACTTGATGTTGTTGATGATGATGATGGTCCTTGTTTCTCCTCCTGGATCAGGACCATCCTCTGGACAAGGACCTGGACGCTCACGAGTTGCGGCGGCGACAGGAAGAAGAGTTTCAGGCCCGTTACCGCAGTGACCCAAACCTGGCTCGTTATCCGGTGAAGCCGCAGCCAAGTGAGGAGGCCATGAGAATGTTAGCTCAAGTCGGCAGAGTCCGCCACCAACGTCGCCACAGTGATGTCTCCCTGGCAACGGCTGAGCCTGACCACCTGACCCTGAGACACACAGGTAGGAATAAAACTGACAATCTGTTAATGCCTTGCCAAGGGCACTCAGTCTGATATTTTTTCTTTCCTGTTAGTTCTCCGTCAGCATCGACCTCAGGGATTGATCAGATCTGAAGGTCAGAGGTCATTCTCTGTGGACCGGGCATCTAATCACATGAGCCCCACGTCTCCCCGCCGCAGCCCATTACCACAGCAACACCTGGACCCGAGCTCCGCCCATAAGAGGAAGTCAGCCAATGAGAGCGTGGTGCAGAGAGGGCGGGGGATGGGGAAGATGCACGTGATTGGTAGCTTCAGCAGCTCTGAGGAAGAGCTAGTGACCACTCCAGAGTACACCAGCTGTGACGAGCCTGACAGTGAGTGTCCACATGCCAAGTGCTAACGAAATGTGGCTATGTGGCTAAATGCTAACTGTCACATAATGAAGGTAAAGGCTAAATGCCTTCATGCTAACAGCTAAATACATGAGGCCAGGTGGTGTTCACACACCTGATGCAATCACTGTTGTGAATGTGTCCAATCATTTGTTTTAGAAAGCTGTAGGTGAGAGGAACCAGGAAGAGTCCAGTGACATTGAGTTCTCTCTGATGGTAATTAGCTCAGTGTGATAATCCTCTTTCAGCTGAACTCGGTCTGAACAGCTTTACCCTGCACTTCCTCAAGCAAACACCAGAGGGTTCCTACTAGTCCTCAGAGAACCCAACCTGCCGACAGAACACAGTAGAACTCTGACTTCTGAACACTGAAACAGGTTCTGTGTCTGGGTGGTTCTTAAATGGTTTCAGAATTCCGTCTTATCTGTAAGGTCCTACATCTGCTGTGATGGCTGGTAGAGGGGTTCGTCCACTAATGATAACGTTGGCGGTTTGATCCCCGGCTCCCTGACATCTGTTCTTGCATTGTGAGGATTGGATGTATGATACGGAAGCACAATAAATAGAAGTCCTGCTGTTCTGCAGGGATCCACAACTGTTCTATGTGGGCTCTTGTCTGTTCTGTAGGGTTCTGCTATTGTTGCAGTGGATTCCATCTGTTTTTCAAGGTTCTGCTCCAGTTCTGTAGGGTTCTCCTGCTGTTCCATGGCAATTGTTCCCCTTGAATCAGCACATGTTCCATGCAGGATTCTGCTTCTGTTCTATTGTGTATGACTTGTCGTTTATGGTTTCCCTTGCTTTTCTTGAACGCTCTGTAGAACAGTGTTGGGTCACTGCTCTCTGAGCACCCGCATGGTTCTGTTCTGTTCTGCTGCCCAACGTGTTGCAGATAAAGTTGATGAACGTGTTTCTGCAGGTCGTCTCAGGAAATCAAGCGTCATGCTGACGAGTTAATCTGCTGTGTCCATGTCATTGGACCAGAAGTCATGTGATCAGAGATTATGAACTCTAACTGGCTCAGAGGCTTCTTGGCTCCTTCTCTCAAGTCTGGAGGTGACGGAGCAGCTCAGAGTCTCTTTCTCTGCCGCCCTGAACATACCTGCTCATAAATAAGAACCAATACAACTTCCAACAGACCTTCAACCCTAACGGATCCTGGCCCAGAGGAGCTTGGAGGATCTAAGATAACGTGCACGATCCAGATTTGAAGAGAACATCTATGCGCGGCTGCTCCTGTGCTGCAACAGAAGCACCTACTCCACCTTCGTTAAATTGGATTAAAAGAGGAGAGTGTGGATTACTGGCCTACCTCAGGAGTCACTGTAGACACAAGGTTGCAGGAGTCGCTGACAGAGTGGGTTGGTCAATGTCATCGCAACTGCTGGATCCCTGGTGATCTGGAGGTTTGATCATTTCTTGATGATCTACTGGATTCCGCTGACTGTGATCTGGTGAAAAGGTGGAGGAGAGGGGAGGTTTGAGCAATGTTGGCCCCAACCTGCCAACCTCCACCAGCGTCCTGTTTACAGCTTGACAAACCAGATCACTTTTAGACGTCCGAACCATCTGGACGTGGAGCTGCAGCCCAGGAAATCAACAAGCTAACAACTCTCTGAGCTATTAGCGAAGTCTGCAGTGAAAGGGAAGCTAGCTCTGTCACAAGAGAACAAGGGAATCATAGCCAACAGATTTGCTCTGTGCTTTGACTAATCTTATTACAGACAGGTATGAACTGCTCTGCAGCCTGCAGCCAGAGCTCAGGGCAAACAGCACCCAAAGATACAGAGAGGAGGAGGAGGAGAAAGGAGCTGCAGGTTCACCTCCTTCTCTTCATCTTCCTCCTCTTCCTCTGCTGAAGCCTCCTCCTCCTTCATGGCGTTCACACAGACCTGTGAGTACTGAAGTGTGCGTGTTTAAAGCTGCTTTGACACGTGTAAAGACGGATTACTGTTTGCTGGAAGGTTCAGACCCCCCCACGTCCCCAACCAAGATTCAGAGACCTTCGTCTGATTGTTCAGAAATCCATAAAGAACCCGGCTCCTCTATCTCTGTTGAGCGTTGCATTGTGGGATACAAGGAAACTTATTTTGTTGCAGTTTTACAACATGGCTGCTTCAGGCGTCGTTCCCTGTTTACATTGAGCAGAGTTAAGTCCACACTTTCTTAACTCCAGTCGAAGAACAGATGAGTTGGAAAAGTACAGACTGAAACTCTTTACTCCAATAAACGGACATTTACTCAAATTATAAAAGTTAAACGTTTACTTGATATCTGTGCAAAGCAAAGAGAGACTCATTCATTTAGTTCAAAGATTGTCTCACTCACTCTGATTTTAAATCAACTGAAGACAATTTAGAGCAAAAAAAGATTTGTGACATGGAAAATGTTCCAGGAGGATGAAATGTGTGTCGTCGTCATCAGGGACGTTTTGTGATTCTTCACTTGATGTCGTCCTCGTCACGGACATGTGTGCTTCTTCTCCACGTCTTCATCTTTTACGTTGTGAAACGTCTGTTGTGTGTGAAAGATTCACAACCTGGAATCATCTCATCTGTGTTTATGTGCATTTAGACTCGATGATGAATGAAAATGTAAATTTGAAAAAAAGTCGAGAGTAGAACAAATACCTGATAAAGTAGATACCTGAAAAAAACGTATGTACACTAAGTGTATATATTCATATATATGTATGGATACACTTAGTTAACTATAGAATAATGTCTTACTATAATGTGTCACTTACATCAACATGTTTTACCTGAACCTTCTGGGTGTTTAAACTCTGTTTTAATCACGTTTGACCTCTGACCTCCACTCTCTCCTCCTGGATGTCTGGTTGCTAGGAGACATGGACAGCCAATGGTGGGATCATGGTTCCTGGCATGGAGAGCCTGTGCCCATGTCTATGGTAGGACTGAGATCAGATCATCCTCCAGCTCATTGAAGTGAACTACTATTTGCTTATATTACTGTTGCTGAGCAACCACATATATGTCCACTGTGACTCCTCAGCATCCGGTAACATGGCAACCGTCCAAGGATGGAGAGCGTCTGATTGGTCGAATTCTTCTGAACAAGAGGATGAAGGACGGGACGGTTCCTGCGGATACCGGAGCGCTGCTGGGACTCAAGGTGACGAACTCTTCTTCCCCTTCATCCTGTTATTGAACGTCAGCGGTCAGATCAGTGCCTTGCTCATGGGCAGTGTGCTCTCAGGTTGTTGGTGGGAAGATGACGGAGTCTGGTCGTCTCTGTGCGTTCATCACCAAGGTGAAGAGAGGAAGTCTGGCTGACACTGTGGGACACCTGAGACCAGGTAATCCATCTTCTTAATGTTCTTTGATTCCTGAAGGTGTTGATGCTTTTATCACTTTAAAGTGATCTGAGCGGTCAGTAGTCACGTTGTTGACAGGTTTTGATATTTAACCTGCGGCTCAGGTTACAATGGTGATCTACAGTGATGATCATGGTACAAGCCCTGACAGAGAAATGCCAATGAGTGTAACATAGCTTATTTCAACTTCTTCATCTCCTCCATGGTTCAGGTGATCAGGTTCTGGAGTGGAACGGCAGGGTTCTTCAGGGAGCCACGTTTAATGAAGTTTATAACATCATCCTGGAGTCTAAACCAGAACCACAGGTGGAGCTTGTGGTGTCAAGACCTATCAGGTGGGTCAAAGGTCACACAGGGGTCACATTACAGAAACTAAGTAGTTTTAAAAATATGACAAGAAAGTTTTTCAGATCTTCTAAATGGCCTCTAACCAGTAGGTTGGCATTTCGAAACCCAGTTTTCCTCATTCAGCCAAAGTGTCCTTGGGCAAGATGCTAAACCTCAATTGCCCCTGATGGCTGTGCGGTTCCCACGGAAACTGTGTGTCAATGATTATCACGACTAGATAAGCACTTTAAAAACAATTCTGATGTTCTACAGAGAACTTGAGGTTCTGTCATTTTAACAACTTGCTTGTGATTTTTGTTCATCAGAGACGTTTCCAGGGCAGCAGATGGTTCCCATGTCCAGCTGGACTCCAGTGAGTCAATAACATACAAATCAAAAATCAGGGCTGATTCTGAGACTGTACGACTGTGTTATAAACTGTAAGTTCTGTGTTCAGGTTCCAGTTCCTTCGACTCACAGAAAGTTGGCCCGTCCATTTCAGTCACATCTCCCATGAGCCCCAGTGTTCTCTCCGGACAAGTCTCGGTACGTTTACACCAGCATGCTCTGCACACGGCCCATGGCCAATCAGCTGTTGGTTGACAGCTGTCTCCATGGTGATGTGTGTGTGTGTTTCAGACTGTGAACAGGCGTCCTCTGGTTCCCAGAATTCAGGTAAACTGTAGAACACAGAGAGAAGTGCGAATGTCCTCTGTAGTTATTAGTTATTAGTTAAATTGACTCTCTCTAATTCTTCGCTCGTGTCAATTACGCCAAACCTCTGCCGACCCACTGCAGCTTTAAAATAAGTAGTGAAGTAGAATGTTTCCTCATTGATGAATGAGGTTCTTTTTCTGTTCCACTAAGCTAACAGGTTCTGTCCTATTTCATTTACACACAAGGTTCCACATCTGTTCTCTGTGCTTCTTTTAGCGCTGTAGTGCTCCTCTGTGTTATCAAGGTTATAATAGTTTTGGATTTTTCATTTTGGTTTAGTTTTATTTCGTTTTGACTTTTTCCCTCCATTTCAGTTAGTTTTAATTAGTTTTTAGTGTGGGTTTGCTAGTTTTTATTAGTTTTTATATTTTCAAAAATGTTTAGTTTTAGTTGAGTTTTTATTAGTTTTAGTTTTTTAATACTTTGGGTTATTTGTCAGGTGCAGGATTAAAAAATGTATTGTGCTGGCATAAATTCTCAGATGGCGGGAGACCGGGAGTGTAACACACATGTTGTGGTCAGAAATTCAGCGGGAGCAGGATGGTGCTCTAAGGTGCTCTTAGGTGCAGTAAGGTGCTGGTGCTGCTGCTGCCAGCTGGTGTAAAACTGCCAGAGCGGAATATATCGATCATATGAATCCAACCAATTGAGGAGCTCCTGCTGCCCTATATTACGGCCTTTGTTTGGTTTTTTGTTCTTTGGGGTTCAGCAGATGTTGTACAGAGTGCGCCTGTTGCCCCTTGGCTAGCTCGGTAGTAAGCGAATGGATGGATGGATGGATGGATGGAAGGATGAAACTAGTCCTTAGGTGTATCTAAGTCTTTACTGTTGTGCCAGGTTCTCCTGCTGTTGATTGGGTTTCCTCAGTAGTTCTTCAGTGCTGTATTTTTTATGTGGTTTGCTAGTGTCTACTAGGGTTCTTTCTCTGATTGTTGGAGTTCTAATGTTCTGCGGGTTGCAACCATTGCGTCGGTCCTCTTTTCCTGTTTAGTGTTTGGTTTGATTTAAAATCTGTTCTACAGGTGAAGCTCTGGTACGATAAAGTCGGTCATCAGCTAATCGTCACAGTTCTTGGAGCCAAAGAACTTCCCTCCCAAGATGACGGCCGACCCAGGAACCCTTATGTCAAGATCTACTTCCTGCCTGATAGAAGGTAAATAAAAGAACCAAACTGCTTCCTTGTTTCAGTTTTGCGATTCATTGGGTTCTGCTGTATAACCTGCGGAACCTCTGATCTGGTTCTTTAGAACTGGAGGTGGTTGCCTCGTTATGATTGGCAGTTACTTCTCTCCTTGCAGTGATAAGAGTAAGCGGAGGACGAAGACGGTAAAGAAGTCATTGGAACCTCGGTGGAATCAGACTTTCATGTACTCTCCGGTCCACCGGCGGGAGTTCAGAGAACGAATGCTGGAGCTGACAGTCTGGGATCAGGCCCGGCTCAGAGAGGAGGAGAGTCAGTTCCTGGGAGAGGTCAGAACACATGGAGAACTTTCAAAAACATCTGAAGTGAAGTTGTCCCAACAGAAACTCTTTAAAACCAGTCTGTTCTCCCTGTTCAGGTGCTGATTGAACTGGAGTCGGCTCTGTTGGACGATCAGCCTCACTGGTACAAGCTACAGCTTCATGATGTTTCCTCTCTGCCACTGCCCAGTGCCTCCCCCTACCTGCAGAGGAGAGGACTGCAGCCTGAACACAGTCAGGCCAGCAGGAGGCTGCAGAGTGAGAAAATAACACTGATTACACCCTCTGATCCTCTGTGACTCCCACAACGTGAATCCCTGTTTTATCATCATGAGTTCTACAGATACTTCTTTTTTCGGCTTTTTTTCTTTTCAGTTCAACATCTTGTTTTGATTGAAATTTGTTTTTGTCAATTTTACTTTCCTCCCATGATGCTTAACCAGATAAAGGTCCTTACTGTAACTCAGGTAATAACAGCTCTGTGTGTGTCTGTTGTGGCTGCTGACCTTCTGTAGCTTATTCTTCCTCCTTTGGCTTTTCCCGATGCTAAGCTAACAGGCTTCCTAACAGGCGCAATGATGTTACTGTAATGTCATCAGTCTTTGCTGAGTGGAGGTGTACATTTTTAAAATTGTGGTAGTTTAAGGAGCAGATGGGTCTAAAAAGGCAGCACTCACTCAGAAGGTGGTCCATGTTCTGGTCCAGGCTCTGGTCACCTCACGCCTAGACCACTGCACCTCCCTTCTGGCTGGTCTGCCTGCTGGTGCTATCTGACCTCTGCAGCTCATCCAGAATGCAGCAGCTCGACTGGTCTTAAACCTAAATTCACTCACACTGCTCTGCTCCTCTGCTCCCTTCACTGGTTACCAGTAGCTGCCCGCATCCGCTTCAAAACACTAGTACTTGTGTACCGTGCTGTGAACGGATCGGATCCAGGACATGGTTAAACCTTACACCCCAGCCCTTACATGTAGCACTTTGTAGTTTGGCTTTTTTTGAAGCTAATGTTCTGACATGATTCTTGTTGTTCCAGGTTTGTTCCCTCATGGCTGATGAACTTAATGTCAGCTGAATGTAATCTAATATCAGAAGTAGGTTCCGGGGTTCCTCAAGGGATTTGCTGTTGTTCTCAAGGCTGCACTGAATGGCTGTTTGGATTTCAAGTTCCTTTCGATGTTCTCTGTGGTCCTTGGTGGGGGCTCCAGTAATCATTTCAGATGTTTCAGTGATGTTTTTTTTTCTAGGAGGTGCTGGTTGTCCTGTATAGGTTCCTCTGGATTTATTATAGAGTTCCTCCAAATGTTTAGGCACCCTTGTGGGTGTTTAGATGCTTTATCATCCATTAGGTCTAAGAAAGGCTCCAACATTTAGTAAGAGTTCCATCTGGCTTCAAAGTTGTTCCATGGTCACTGATGGAATTTCAGGATGTTACAAGTTCTTTGGTTCCTCAAGGAGTTTCTTGTTGTTTTTTGAGAGGGTGACAGAGGTTTGTGAAAATGTTGGAGTTGTACATTTAGAGACTAAGTGTGTCCCAGGTTCCCATACTTGAAAGAAATTCACAAAATCATTGTGGGGGTTCTGCAGATCAACCCAGAGGTCTTAGGGTTCTACATATTCCAGCTGTCTCAGAGGAAATCCAACAGGTCTTTACGAGATTGATGTGATTGCCAGGAGTTCTAAAAGGTTCTTGAAGTAATCTTTTTTGAGGTGGCCCTAATGATTATGAAGGACTAGCAGAGTTCTGTGAAGATGTTTTAGTGGACTTTAACAACCTCTAAGGGGGTTCCTGAGTCTCCTTCAAGGATATATATGTCCTTAAGGATGTCCAGGAATCCTGTGTGGGATTTTAAAGGTACTTCAGAGAATCCTGACTTTCACAAGTCATTGTGGGTAAAAACCTGAATGTTGCCCTGTGACCTTTAATTTTCCAGCCCCCAATTATCATCATGAAGCTATTTCTGAAGTTTGTCAAATGAAATATATGAATCTTTTAATGTTGCTGTGTAAATTCAGTTGTTTCTTGTCTTCCTGTACTGTTTGTGTGTCAGATTAGTTGACCTTCCTGTCGAGGATTACAGAAGAGCTGCTTATAGGCTTAAACGTCCTCTCTGTGTCTCAATGCCCCCCCCCCCCCCCCCCCCCCCCCCCTGTAGGGTCTCAGAGGATCAGTGACAGTGAGTTTTCAGATTACGACTGTGAAGACGGCATCGGGGTGATATCAGGTGAACTCCATGTCCCATCATGCACTGCAGCCCTGTCTGAACACATACCAGAAAATAGAACACATTTCAGCACTATTTGTCCTTGTTTTAATTTCAAATGTTCCCTTTAACAATCTCGTCAGTGTTCTCCTGAAACACCTAGAACCACTGAACTGACTTCACTCTGAAGATTATTTGTGATCACTGCTGGTCTGACCGGGACCTTAGAGCAAAGCATTCTGTGGCAGTTGATGGTTCAACTTGGGCTCTGGTTCTTTGTGTGCAGACTACAGACAGAATGGGCGGGACTTCCACAGTTCCACCCTCTCAGTGCCAGAGCAGGTGATGTCGACCAATCACTGCTCCCGATCCGACTTGGTCAGGATGAGGTCACGGTCACCGAGCCAACCGCCTCCGCACAGGTAACAGCTGCTACTGAGCACACGTTTTAAAGAATGAGAGCTGAGGAGTTGAGGTAGTTTTTCAGAAAGATTAGGATGATAATATGAGATGACTTCATAATTGGATCATGTGATACAAGATAATTCCCGATGAGAAGAATGAAAAGAAGAACTCAGATGATAGAAGACGAGAACAGATGTTATGAGATTCCAAATGAGATGGAATTAAATAAATGTTCCATTTTTGTTCATTGATTCAGGTCTCAGCTTCATTTTACCACCACTCACTGTAATTCTTTTCATACCTCACTAACCTTAACCATTTGCTGACACCTGATCCCTGACCTTTGACCTCCGACCACCTCTATCCTGTGAACCCTCCTGACCTTTGACCTGTGGATACCAGTGGCAACCCTCTGTACCCGTTGTATCGGGAAGACGCTGTGCGGCTATTGCGAGGTTCAAAGCTGAGCCGAGCGTATTCTGACGCCGGTCAGTACAGCAGTCTGGACAGGTAACCATGTTAACACATGGCACAACACCTGACCTGGGTCACCTGGACAGCAGTAAATCAGCACACAATTATTGTGTAATATTGTGCTTAAGGGGGAACATAAGGAAATCATGAAATGATCAATAAACATCATCCTGAATTACTAGATACACCTGTTCTGTCACATAAACCACGCCCCTCTGTTGCTGCTGCTGAACCAATCAAACAACATACTGCTCTATCTCAGGGCTGGACCAGGACCCAGGTCTGGAGTGGATTTTGTTTTGTAGTTCTGGTTCTAGTACTGGTGGTAGTTCTGTTGCAGTACTGCTCTTTGTACAATTGCTATGCTTGTTATATACAAGTTATAGTATTTGTTGTACTACATCTACTACTGGTATTTGTAGTAGCGGCGCTGGTTTCTGTACTGGTTGTATCAGATGTCTCTTGTAAAGGTCATATTTCTTCTTGTAGTACCAGTCATAGTGGCTTTAGTTCTGGTTTTCAGAACAGGATAATCCACTACTACTGGACACAACACTGGCTAGTCATGCTCATAGTTTGGGCTTGCTGGATACTGCTAGTCTTAGTTCTAGTTACTAGCACCTAGTACCAGTTCTCATAGTTCTAGTTGCACTGGCAATAGAACTGGCGATGCTGCAAATTATTGTTATTATACCACTATATGACTTGTAGTACTGCTTGTACCAGTATTGGTTTGATTTCTGGGTGTGGTGCTGGTTTTAGTTCGCATTCTATCCTGGTTGTTGGTTGTGGTGCAGATTGTTGGTCAGTTGTGTCTGACTGTCTGTTTCTGTGTATTCAGGAGTCCACTGAGGAAAATGTCTGTTACCAACTCTCTCGATTCTCATGACAGGTACTGAAACTATTGGATGAAGATGTACAGGAGTAGTGTTTGTTGTAGTAGTAGTTGTGCCTCTATTACCATGAGTTGCGGTAACCGCGTTCTCATCTCCATTCGTGCTTCTATGTGTAAGATATATGAATGGTCCGAACCACGCTCCCTGGACAAACCCCATGATGAATGGGAACTGTGAGGACTACAGGTGAGCCCCAGAGTTTGTGGGTAATGTAGTGTAGAGGGTGAAGTTTACGTAAGATTCAACGTGTTGTGAAGTTGATACCTCTCTGTTCTTCAGTCAGGACTTCATCCCAGACTTCCCCTACGAACCTGATGCGTACGATGAGGAACTGCACAGGTAACGGACTGACAGACAGTTTGACTTACAGACAGATAGACTAGGACATATGTAGATGTAGAGGACAGTCGTAGTCCTTCTGTGCCTCCTTCTTATCATCCCCCATCAATGCTTGAGGTGTCTTTCAGTCCAGAGGACAACAGTTTCAATTTGTGGTCCTTGTTTAAAGTTTGTAATTTCATCTGGAGTTCTCTGTATTTGAAACAGCCTCAGAACTTCCTGTTTCTCTCTCCCAACATTCTTCATTGTCCTCTATATCACTGAGGCCTTCTGGGACATGTAGTGTCAGAACCCTGAAGGTTTTCTTTTAGGATTTCTTCTTCTTTGTTTTTTTATTTACAGCCGTCAGTGCCTTACATTTCCTGATAACCTGACTTGCAAACTTCCTTAGGGATGACCGATCAACCTCTCCCACAGGTGCAGTGGTTGTGTTGGTGAGGGTGGGTGATTGTTGTCATGGTGATGTGCAGGTACAGTCGGGGAATGGACCGGCGGTATTACTACAGTCGCTCTCGGTCAGCTGACCAGCGTGCAATGGCAGACCAACCGCTTTACACACGCTCACACTCCACAGACCGATCTGACTTCGTCCACTTGAGGTCGGGACGCTCCGCCCCCCCCTCACCTGCCTGCACCAGGTGACTGGCAACTGACCTATCAGTAACCAACTTCGTCTCTGTTGTGTTTGTTGAATGTGGTTTTTATCCAGGAGAATGACGTCTAGCTGAAGACTGACCACACCCATATTCTAACCCCTCCCCCTGCTCCCTGATTGGCTCACAGTGACATCACACCACTAAAAACTTGATGTTGTCTTCCATTAGGGTTAACCCACATGATTTCTGTACTGCTGGTATTCATTTGTTGAATTAATCCTATTTTTTCCCACCCTCATATCTGAGCTTCGTCTTCTTGTTTTTCTGATTCATGTTTATTTAACAGCATGTTGGCATCGCTTGTTGGTTGCATGAGTTTCTTGATTCCTAAGGTCACTTTGTTTTTTCTCTCTTAATCCTTGGTAGTTGAGTCGTAATCCTGCTGTGAACTCAGGTTGAATCCAAACCTCCAGCTTCCAGACTTAAAGACTGAGCCCTGAGCAGATTTTGGTCGTACATACTGATCCTGGGAAAAAAAGGGATACAATTAGCTAAGAAACAGAACCTCAGAAGTTTTGTTTCCATGGAAATTAATCAAAGCTCTTGGCCTTGTAAAGACGACTTCAGTCACGAAAACGTGAAAAAAGTTGAATTTACAAATATAGTTAGGGTTAGGGGAGGGGATAGGTGTGGTTTGTAGCTGGAACCTCCTCCTCAGTAACACGTCTGTTAATTTGTGAGTTTTCAGGATCAGAAAAGTCTGGACTTTTGGATTGAGCCCGAGAATTGAGTATCTGTGCTAATTACCCTGCTGGACAAACTCAATCAAATCAATCACTGTAACCATGGAGACAGTGTATCGATTGATTGAAGGCATTTTAATGGTGTTAGCCATTAGCTTGTTGTTTGTACATTGTGCACAAATTTACATCAACAGAACCATTAATCTTACTAATGACAATTTAATCTCTGACCTTTGACTCAAGTCCTCCCGTGACATTGGTAGTTTGATTTTTTACTTTGTCAAACAGAGCAAATCCTCAAAGTGGATCGACCCAGACGAGTCCGTCAGGAACACCGGTCTGTGGCCGCAGAGTACGCCAGTTGCCCATTGTCCCACCCAAAGGAACGCTTGACAGAAGTATGTACCTGTTTTACACCAAAATTAGCAGGAATACACAGGGTTTTTTTAAATGCAGGGAAACCTGCTTAAAAAGCCGGATGATGATTCGGTCTTTTTGTTTATTTATTGACAGACAAGTGAAGTTTTCAGGTTTTATCTTGACATAACTTTGGATCATCTGCATAAAGATGGAACACCTTGTGTCCCAGGATGGATCGCTAGTGATCTAACAAAGAGTCGTGTCTTTCAGATGGAGAACTCCCTGACACTGTGCAGACAGGTACAGATTGTGACCTGTGTGTAGTTTAACACCCGAGTGTTGTGTACCTACTCCGGGTTCCTTTAGTTTAGAACTAGAACAGTTCTAATCCTTTCTTGCACTTTTGAAAAATTTACTTTCTAGTAATTGTAGCGATGGTCACGCACTGATCTGAATTTTTAAACTGTTGACGAGAGGTCACAGTTGGGGGTGTTTTAAAGGAAACATTCTACTTAATGTGTCACATTTTAGGTGAATCTTGTGCATGCTGGGAAATGTAGTCAAGTCAAGTACATTTTATCTCTATAATGCCAAACCATAAGAGAAGTTACAGTAGTCTCTCCAGCAGGAGCAGGTTGGTCTGAACACATCTTAAACAAAAGTGAATATCTGCTCTGCTGTCATTCTACTCCTGGCTGTGTGCTACTATCAGCTGACATCCTGGTCTTGGTGTATAACCAACTAAGAAAGTCCCACAAATGGTGTAGCTCCTCGTGTGGAGATCTCTCTGAGAATCATCAGCTTCATGTGGTGCATAGCTTGGTCATTGTTGGCTGTTGTTAGTTTTCTAGTAGGTAAACTACCATTGACAAACTGGTCTGAGACTGGTCAGACTGGAGGTTTGTCCAGAGCCCTCATAAAGTACCTCACCTGGACAGTGGAGAACAGTGCCATCTCCTGGAGCCAGGTCAGTGAGCGGAGCTTGTTGGCTCCTGTGGTCTACTAACCCTAGTGGACCATCAAGAAATGACATGGGCCTGCATCCTCCTGAGGCAGTGAGGTTTTGGGCAAACAGCTGGATGCTTTGTCATTCTGCAGCTGTTACTCTTTTCTCTTTTCAAGGGTCAGTGAAACCTTTAGAAGCGAAACTAGGCATGTGATTGGTCAGCTCTTGTCACAGGTCATTTGATCATTCATCAACGCATTGTCTGTCTTCCTTCATCTTTGATCACCTTTTCTTTTTCTCCTTGATCTTTCATTTTCCATCAGTTTTGACCACGCCTACCACAGGAGCACCACCAGCAGCCCTTCTCCCTGCCAACATACAAACCCCTCCGATTGGCAATCACCCATTACCTCCTCTCATACGAATCCAAGCCCCGCTTTCTCCTGGACCTGTCCAGCCTCACCCACCACCTGCATCTGTACATGCACCTGCACGGGCACCAGCACCTGTACATGCACCTGCACCTGGTCCTGCACCATTTGTGGGAGCGCCATCACCAGCTCCTGCAATTTTACCTATTTTTACACCAGCACCTGTTGCAGCCACACCCCCAGCTTCCCCAGCCCAACCAACACATACAACGACTGCCCAAGCCCCACCCCCTGTGCTTGCACCTATGCCAGCCCCACTCCCAGCCCCACTCCCAGCTCCTGTAGTCCAATCACAGTCACATGTTGAACCAGCCCTGGCCCCTGTACCCACTCCAACACCTGCCCCCTCACCCACCCCCACACCTGCCCCCTCCCCAGCCCCGCCCCCACAGACTCCAGGTGTGTACATGACATTTTGATGTGTCATTCGTGGTAAATCAGTCAGTCACATTTGGATATTTCAGTCATCAACATCATCTCTCATTTCATTTATTCATTTATGTGTTTATCTCCGCTACTTCGTGCTGATGTCATCATACCTGTCGTGTCAGAGCCTGAGATACGCTCAGCAACACCTGGAGGGACCAGAAAAGGCAAGTTAGTCTTCAGTGGATGTGATGATGCGTTCAAATGATCCTCTTCAGATTGTACTGATCCGGTGTAGTTGTCCAGGTGTGTGAGGTATTGTGAAGTACAAGGTTTTGACTCCTGCTGGTTTAACTGGTTTGACGTCAGATGGATCACCTGAACAGTTTAGAGTGTTGCTGAAGTCTGACCAATCACCTCTCTCTGCCTGCAATGATGTAGAGGTCACATGGGAGGACCAGCAAAAGAAAACTGCCAATGGTAACGTACCACCTGTTAGCTACGCCCACCTTTAGACAGGTAGCTCCTGGACCATGTGACACACTTGTCACCTGAGTCTGTGACGATATTAATGTAAATGGGAATAATCCACCACAGGCTACAAGAATTCAACAAAGTGTTTCTAACCAGGCTAACCAGGCTGAAGGTTAAGATACAGTTTCACTTTTTAGCTCTAACTTCTCAATCAGAGCGATTAACGATCGGCATGTTGATCTTTGTAAAACTGTTGACGACGACACACTGAAGCCACAGGTGTTTGATTCCTGCAGATTTAATGTCTCCATGGTTGTTAGATTTATCTTGTGTTGTCAGCGTAGATTCGATTCAGATGTCGCTCTGTACTTTGATCCCTGAGTTCTTCTGACTTTCTCTGTTTTAATTGTTTTGAATGTGAAGCTCCGCCCTGCTCTTGGTTGAATGAAACTCTCTGTGATTTCTTCATTATGATGTCGTCCTTGTCTTCAATTAGTCAGAAACCCAGCAACTAGTTTTATTTTCTCATGTGTTATATTTGTATTGTTTACATGCAAAAGCTGAATATTTGAATTTATTTAAATACATCACCACTTGATTTGATGACATCACTGTCCAACATCAAGCAACTGATGACCTCACAATGTTGTAATAAACTACCTCTGCTCCTGTGTCTCTGCAGGTGTGATGAAGGATCCATCAAAGGTGAACACACAGAAACACGTTACAACATATGACACAGAACATACCTTGTACATACATCACTGATCATGTCACCTGCTCACCTGCTCTGTGTCCAGATGAGGGACAGCTTGTCCTTCAAATCGTCAGACAGTGACGTCAGCGACGTGTCGGCCATGTCCAACGCCTCCGACACTCGATCTGTCTGCAGAATCAGGTGAGTCCAGGAACCAATCACAGAGCAGCACAGCCAGATGGTTGAACGAAAGGTTTTTAAGAACTGATGAATGTTAACAGCACGATTTATATTTGTGGTTTTCAAAATGTCCATTTAAATACGTTGACGTTAGTGATGTTAACGTGTTTTTCATTTACCATCTTTTTTTGTGTTTGATTCGTCTGCATGTTAACTCAGCATGCTCTTTCTGTTAGCTTAAAGAGCTAGCATGTTAGCATGTCTTTTGCTGCATGTCTTTGTCTGCATGCTCCTGTTCTCTCCTCTCATTGGCTGACGCAGCCAGTCGGAGGCCCTAGAAGGTCAATCAGTGGAGTTGGGGGCGGGGACAGAGGGAACACAGGAAGTAGCGGCAGCGGGTGGAGCCTCACTGCAGAAGAGTGAATCAGTGGAGGAGGGCGAGGAGGAGGAGGTGGCCGTGCCTTCAAAGTAAGGGAGCAACAGTCTGGAGTCAAACAACTCGTCATAGCAACAGTGTGCCGCCGCCCACTTCCCTTGTGTGCTGGTGTAACCCACCCCTTTTATGCCCCCACCTCCTTGGAAAATGATTGACAGGCATGTGTTTTTCCCCTCCCCCTCAGGTAACTGAGAGGTGTGAGTGTCACTGTCCCTCCCCCTCTGGGTGATTAACAGGCGTGTCCCTCTCTCTCGACCCCCCGCAGGCCGGCACCTGCGGCCGGAGCTCCTCTCATGAAGTCCTCAAGTGTCGGGGGGGAAATCTGTTCGTTGGGCAGGAATGACGACGACGACGATGAAAAGAAGCGACGCTCGAGTTTCGGAGCGAGGATGATGGGGATGGTCGGACTGGGAAAGAAGAGTCAGAGCGCCTCGCAGCTCAACCCAGAGGGTCAGACCCAGTTTAGACTTCTCATGTTGATCATCCGCTGCACTGCCCTCTACAGGCATGAAGACTCTACTGCAGATACTCAGTGTTGATTTGCCCATATTCAAACCCCTGTGTTCTCTCTGTTGATCTCTCCATCCATCCAGAGGAGGAGAAGAAGAAGAAGGTGGTGAGACTTCCTGTCCAGAGGAGCATAGAAACTGGTTTGGCTGTTGAGTTTAAATCTCGTTTCACGAGACAACCGAGTCGTGACCCGGACGCCGAGGACCCCAAACCTGGAGCGTAAGAAATTCTGTCGCTCCTCTTTTTGACTGTCGCTCCTCTTTACTCCTCTGATTTGTCATTTCTTTAGTTTTTCTCCTCTCAGAAACTTTTATTTGTTTTCAGGCTGATATTTCCGGGTGTGAAATTGGCAACGGACCAACAGTTCACTGGCTTCCTGGAAGGATTAGGCCCCGCCCAGCTGGCTGGACGGCAGACTCTGGCCACGCCCCCCATGGGTAATGACCAATCAAAACTTTATTAAAATGATGTCTTGTATTTATTATTTATTTTATAGCTGCATACATTCATACAT